TTCATTTTTTGAAGTTAATAACGATAAAAATTAATTTTGTGTTACATATATAAACAGGTACCAATATAAAAAAAAATTGGATAATTTACTCAGTGACTTCAATTGTTCATTAAATGATCCATTAGTTGTGGTAACAGATAGAGGAGCCAATATAAAAGCTGATTTAAAAGAATATGAAAATATTAATTATATAAATCACCTTCTTCAGTACAAATACTTGAAATAATAACAGTATCGTCAAAACTTGTAAAATATTTTAAGAAATCAGGCCTTAATTGTGAGTTGACCACTTCACTAAAAAGTTTTTTTTTTACCCACTAGGTGGAATACTGTTTATTTTAATTTGTTATCTATAAAATCTAATTTTAATGACATTCAAAAAATACTAAGCGAGAAAAATTTAGTAGAAAAATATAATATTATTAAAGAATACCATTTGGACCAGTTAATAGCAATTTTAAAACCATTTATGGAAGCATCAAAAGAGCTTGAAGGTAGCTCCTATGTTACATTACACTTAGTTCACCCTCATATTCAAAATCTAAAAACAATATGTTCCACCGCTAGTAACTATGAACCAACATTTATTTCAGATTTCAAAAAAAGTTTGTATGACACCTTAATAACTTTAGTAGAGAGCAAAATTAAAATTTTTAAATTAGCTATATTTTTATTTCCACCAACCAATCAATTAATTCAATTTAGTTTAGAAAAGAAAACTGAAGTTTTAAGTATATGCAAATCTTTGTTACATTTTTATACAAAATGACGTTAATACATCAAACCATTCAATTGAAATAAATACATCTAAAATATATTCATTGTTTCAAAAATATGTACAACTAATACAGGAAGCAAATTCTATTGAATCTAAAATTGAAAGTGAATTACATAAATAGATATAAAAATACTAATGTGACTTTATACAATGACTTTAATATTTTAAAATGGTGGGAAAATAGGAAAAATGAATTTCCATTATTATATAGGTTATACTGTAGAATATTCACTATTCCAGCATCAAGCGCACCATCAGAACGTGTTTTTTCTATTTCTCGTGCATTGATAACCGATAAATGATCTAAAATCGGCGTTAATGGAAAACCATTTAATGAAATATTATTTGTGAACATAAATTCCAAAGAGCAATTTTTTATTTATAAATATGTACATACATGTATGAATGTTAATTATTATTTTCTCTAAGATTTTTTTTTTTAAATTGTAATGAATTCCTGTTAAGTTAGTTATTTTTAGTTTGTTCAAATAACATCTTTAAGAATTAAATCATATTATTTTAATGTATTTTTTATAAAAAATATACGAATTCCTGTTCATTTTGTTATTTTTAGTTTTGTTTTAAAAACAAATTTAACAAGTAAGAGTTCTATATTCGGCTGTGCCGAATCTTATATACCCTTAATATGATGTGTTAAAAAACAGTCAGTACGAATTTTATTACAAAAAATCAAAAAATACCAATTGTAAAACGGCAAGGCCTTTTAAAGACTGAAAAGGTGCCAAAAATCCCATTTTATACGTTCTAACTTAATCCGGGCTCTACATGCTTAATTTCATATTTCTAGGTTCAATATTATAGAAATTTCAAAAAGTACCTTTTGAAGAACGAAAAAGTACCAAAAAGTCCCCTTTTATAGAGTCCCACTTAATCCAGGCTCTACATAATTAATTTCATGTTTCTAGGTTCAATGTTATAGAAATATCAAAGAGTACCTTTTGTAGAACGAAAAAGTACCAAAAAGTCCCCTTTAATGTGTTCTCGCCTAATCCGTGTTCTACATACTTAATTTCATGTTTCTAGGTTCAATATTAGAGAAAATTCAAAAAGTACCTTTTGTAGAACGAAAAAGAACCAAAAAGTACCTTTTTATAGGTTCTTACCTAGTCAAGGCCCTAAATGCTAAATTTCATGTTTCAGGGTTCAATATTATAGAATATTCAAAAAGTCAATTTCTAGGTTCAATATAATAGAAAATTCAAAAATTACCTTTTGTAGAACAAAAAAGTACCAAAAAAGTCCCCTTTTATAGTTTATTACCTAGTCAAGGTCCTACATGCCAAATTTCATGTTTCTACGTTCAATATTATAGAAAATTCAAGAAGTACCTTTTGTAGAACCAAAAAGTACCAAAAAGTCCCTTTTGATAGGTTCTTACCTAGTCAAGGATCTACATGCTAAATTCCATGTTTCTAGGTTCAATATTATAGAAAATTCAAAAAGTACCTTTTGTAGAACGGAAAAGTACCAAAAAGGCCCCTTTTATGTGTTCTGGCCTAATCCAGGTTCTACACACTTAATTAAATGTTTCTAGGTTCAATATTAGAGAAAATTCAAAAGGTACCTTTTGTAGAACGAAAAAGTACCAAAAAGTCCCCTTTTATAGGTTCTTTCCTAATCAAGGCCCTACATGCTAAATTTCATGTATCTAGGTTCAATATTATAAAAAATTCAATAAGATTTGAAGATTTCTTTCGAAATATGTAGCGGATGTTAGCATTACATCTATAACTTCAGCGATATTTACCTGTATAAAGGTAATCATCCACATTCGCAGTCAAACTGACTATAATTAAGAATTTCAGTTGTTTTCGAATTATTTTGTTTTCATTTTCATTAGTAATGTTACATAAAAACATCTATAAGATTAATACTAATAAATATATTTTAATCGCTATTCTTAATAAATTAGCAGAAAATACTTATTTAATTCTCATTAAATCATTTATCCTAGAATTCCGACTTATTAGCACAGCATCTCTTTATGCAAAATTTCTAGAAGTTGCAATTTCACTTTTAATTTGAAATTAAATTTTGTGGACTTAATTTACTCCCACCAGATTTCTTAAAAATCGGAATGCTAAATATAGCCGCCTTCGTTTTTCATATAAGTACCGAAAGTGCTTTAACTAAAAAGTTCCTATAAAAATATTAACGGAAGGACGGACAAGATTTGATCGCCCCCAAAAAGTGAGTGAGAATCCATTATTTACGGTGTCAGATTGACTAGTTTAATTGACTGATTTAAATCAATATAATTTGAAACACATAGGACTTTTTGCTAAATCTTAAAACAATAAAGATATCGATAAATGCTTTTGTGTACATAAGTACAACCAGTAGAGGTACAAATTGCAATAATAATAAAAAAATTCCACATAGTACTAAAATTCAAAACAAGGGCGATATGCAGCCAAAATACAATCTGGCAACTTTTGATACACAACAACCTGACAAGAGTGTAAAGTGACAATTTTTATTGGCTGAAAAATTTGTAGGGCTTTCTTACAATCGTCTGAACTGAAAATTAACCTGTTGCTAAAAATTTTTTACTGTCAGTACATTACCAGTTCCGACAACACAAACTCTGACGACAGTCTATACATAGCTTTAGTGTTATTTTGTTATTACCAGGGAAACCAAAATATGCAAATGCATGTTTTTTGTGGTGCGTCGTATGGACTCATGGATAAGATATTTACACGTTTCAGACCAATTTAAGAATTTTGGCATCGATTTGTTAGAGCATATTTTACCCATAAGAGCATAATTTTGCATGATTTGACTTTTGTAGCATATTTAAGGCATATTTTCGAGTTTTTAGAGCATATTTTATTCTTTTAGTGCATATTTTGAAGTTTTTCGCTTTTTTTCATTTTTGTACATTTTTAATTTTCTTTTCAAAACTTTATTTAAAAAAAATCAAATTTAATTTTTTTTATTTTTTTTTTTTTAATTTTTTAGCCTATTTTACAATTTTGAAAAAAATTATTTTCTTTGTAGAACTTGAAAACTGCAAAAATACATTAGTCTCATGAAAACCAATGTTATATTTTTTATTCAATAAAGCATTAAATTTTAAATCGGACATAAAACCGATTACTTTGGATATCATGACACCAATCCATTTTTATCGTTTAAAAAACTAGTATTGATAACACTGTAAGTATGTCAAAAAGACACAGAAAAACGCCGAGACACCTAAACTTAATTTTGGGTCGTAGAATCTAGTGGCTTACTCCGTTTTGAAAATTTAGGTCAAAATCGGGAGATATTGTGTTTTAAAGTATGAAATGTTTATGAGGTGATTTTTAAATTTTTAAATTTTTGAAAAAAGTTTTCGCGCATAGACATACGAACTAATTATAAAAAGCTAAATATATGTATATGCATAATAAATTCATAATTTTCTATGCGGGAAAGTTTTTTTAATTTAAATAATCAAAAAACACCTCAGAAACAGTGTAAACTTTAAAATCCAATATCTCCCGATTTTGACCTAACTTTTCAAAACGGAGTATGCCACTATATTCTACGACCGAAAATTAAGTTCACGTGTTTCGGCGTTTTTCTGTGTCTTTTTGAAAGTTGAAATTTTACTTACAGTGTTATTATTGGATTTTATGACAACACCGATTAAAATGTCAGTTTAGAAGCTATGAATACAATTGGAAGAAATATGTCAAACTTTGTCGTTTGAAATATGTTTTTTGGGGACCAAATGGCTTCATGTTGTTTATTGGTTATCTGAACGTAAAACAGAGTTCTATTAAACTAGTTCTTCAAACTATCAGATGAATCTATTATAAAAAATCTAGTAGGATGAAATATGTATGACATTAAATATTTATTATTTCATTACAATTTCAGTCTTTTTAAGCTTTTCAATGTTAAAATATAATTTAAAATAATTATTTTTGGAGCATATTTTTTAAATTTTAAGAGCATATTTTGAGTTTTTTACGCCATATTTAAAGCGCTTAAAACACTTTTTTAGAGCATGTTTTCGGTTTCCCTGGTTATTACATTGAATTTGATACAGAATTAAAGATATTCGCAAACAACTAAATTTTATGATATCGTTTAGCGAACAGTGATTTGTTATTCCTTTGTGTTACTTACATTAAACTATCAAAAATTTCACATTAATTTTATTGAGTTTTAAAGTAAAACGATAAACTAGCAATTATATACAACTTACCGAACTTCTTGTTTCTGTAAAATTACTTAAGTCTGGAGTAATTGATGCGCGTCCACGTTTTCCACGACCTTTGGAACTGCGAGCATCTAAGTCTTCAGTAGGGGAGTCACAAAATCTAAGCAAAAAAAAAATAAAACTTCTTTGAATTCCTTTTAGTTCATAAGTTAATAGAAATATTTTGAATTAAAAATACAGAAAAATCCTTATTTTTTACAACTGAATGGAATGCATTTTCGAGTCTGTTATTACGAAGAAATTACAATATCAGTTTATTAAATAACTTATATAAATAAAATTTTCGTCATCCACGTCTCCGTTAGTAGAAGTGTGTATAGACTATATTTTAAAAATATATGTATATTTTTTTAGTGTTTAATCTTAAAAGAATTTTAAAAAATAAATTTTATTTCTATAGACTACTTTTTATTTTGATGGATTATATCCAAAGATCAAAAACAAAATTCACTTGTACTTACACAACAACTTACATTTCAATGACTACTACATGTCATCTGCATCACTTTTAAGTGCATATAATCTGATACGTGAGTACTTAATTTTAGGCATTTACCATTATGTGTTAACAACAGTTTTTTTTTTCAGGAACCGAAAATAATTGTTATTTTTTTTCTTATACTTATGGGCAATTTTGGATGAAATTTGCACCAAGGTTAGTACTATTGGATATTAGTTCAGACACAAAGAACGGTCAGGAACTGCCGATTTTGGTCATACAGAGTTTTATGTAAATGAGTGTAACTTTACACCTATTGGTTCTAGCAGTTCAGATAGTTATTTCTTCATTGGGTTAATTTTTTTCATCAGAAAGCTTATACAATTTCCTTTAAGGGCTTTAAAGTCCCATAATGGGGATGCGAGGTGGATATCTATCAAAAAATTATTTTTTAACTCAAGAATAAAATTTTTTCACTTAATTTTACCTTATTTTTTCAAAATGGACGTGTTTGTTGTTGTTGTTGTTCTTTTTTTTTTTTTTTTTTTTGCTCAAATGATTTCAGATAATTTTTTCGACATGAAATTCCCATATATATTAATTTTTAATGTAATAACACTATTGACACTCAAAAACACTCATTACGCTATATAATGCATTTTATAGACCTAGATGAGTAGAAGATCATTTTACCATTTTTAGAATCTTCAATATACCCTAAAATAAGAAGATATTGAAAAAAAAAAAAACGAAAAAATTATATCTCAAAATTTTCTTAACCGATTTCATACTTTTCAACTGTTTTGAAAAGATTTTCCTTTGTCCTTTTTAAAAAGTATACACACTTTTATATATTTTACGGAAATGTGTCAAATATTTAGATCTAAATACAAATTTTTATATATATATTTTTTTTAAATTTTTACGATTCACAATAATTTTTGACCCACACTTTATTAGAAAACATATTTTTTAAATATTTTTTTATTTTAGCCCACATTTTTTATCAATTGTGGTCTAAAATTAATCTATTGGAATAAGGCCTACAGGCCTACAGTAATGTTATTTTTTAACGTTATCAAGTGATTGAGCTTCTTATCTTGCCGAGATATAGAGTTGCCCAAGTCCATTTCGAAGAAACTGTTCTTAAGATTTGACTATAATATGCTCACAGAGTGTTCACTAGACCTTTTTGAATAAATTTCCAGTAGGTTCCCCACACCTAACGTTAAAAATTTGATACATACGAAGAGTCAACTAAACCAAAACTTCAATCTTTCACAAACATGTTTAAAAGAATGGACATTTTTTTTAAATTTTAGTATTAAATTTTGTATTTTTAGCTCATATTTAGGTAGTTGGTCAGATGAGTCACATACGAAGAGTCAACTAAACCAAAACTTCAATCTTTCACAAACATGTTTAGTGTTTTCTCATAGTGGATAGACGTGTTTAAAATCGCTCTCACGAGAAAATAACATTGTGAACATAAATTCTTAATAAAATTATAAAGAAAGATAAGTAACAGCGAATGGACTCTAATTAAATACATACTTATATATATTTTTTAAATATTAAAAATACATTTAAATTAAATAAATTTTCGTTTTTGTTAATGCAATTATTAACAATAACAAATTGTAGCAAAACAAAAAGCATAAAGAAAAAAAAAGAATAAATAACAACAATACCTTCAATAAAGTGTAGTGTTTGTGTTATTGTGCATGAGTTTTTCTAACTCTTCAACAAGTGAAAGGAGGCTCAGTAGCAATGGAAAAAATGTATACTTTGTTATGAGCTCTCCAAACAACAACAACAATAATTATGATCCAAAATATCATAAAAACTATTTAAGTGTAAGAACAACAACAAACGAGAGTGCGCCAAAACAAAACAATTGTGTAGATAATAGCGAAAAATAAAAAATAAGTAAACAAACAACAGATTCAAAAACAACAACAAACGAGAGATCTCCTCTCTCATATGTGCCAAAACAAGAAAATGGTGTGGAAGACAACGAAAAATAAATAGATAAACAAACAACTGATTTAATGGTTGATGTAAATAGTAATGCTAATGTGAACAATATCACAAATAGTAATAATAACAATATTAACACTATAAAAACCATTAATAATAAGGAAAGTCACTCAAGCCCAATGTCAAAGAATACTGGTTCCATACCAAAAATACTCCAAATACATTGAGCTCGCATAAAACAGAAAAGATCCATACGGGAATGGACCGTTATGTCACTTATACAAAACGTAAGTCTAGCCCTTGGACTTCAAAATTGGAACCAAATCCAAAACAGGCGAAAACAAATACTGTAAGTCAAAATCGTTTTGCACTCCTTGATAACCAAGAAAGTGAAAAAGTACCATCCATGCCTTTAAAACACTACAAGCCACCTCCTCTGTATTTGCGCGAACCTACCACCAATCTATTGGTTAATAAGTTGTCCCAACTTGTAGGCAAAGAAAATTTCCACGTAGTCTCTCTACGCAAAGGAAACATTCAGGAAACAAAAAATACACCTTAATCAGAAAAGTCTTTTAGGACAATAGTTGATAGTTTTGATTCTGAGAAAAGAAATTATTACACGTATCAACTAAAAAGTGCAAAGGGTTTGACAGTACTCAAGTTACATTTACTTTAAGACGAGAAAATTGTCCTCCCGTACAGATAAACAATATAAAAATTCCTGAACAAAGCCATGTGAGATATCTTGGTATCCACCTTGATCGCCGCTTAACATGGACTCACCACATTGAAGCCAAGATTACACAGATAAAATTAAAGTCAGCTCAAATGTACTGGCTAATTGAACCACGGTCTGATCTAGACTTGGAGTACAAAGTGCTTTTGTACAAAACAGTTATAAAACCGATATGGCTATACGGCATTCAACTGTGGGGAACAGTCATGTTGAAAAAATACAAAGAAAGCAGTCAGCACTGTTAAGGTCAATAACAGGTGCCCCGTGGTACATTCGCAATAGTAATATTCATAGGGATCTCAATGTTCCCATAATACGCGAGGAGATCAAACTCTCATGTTTATCCTACATGTCGAAACTAATGGATCACTCAAATCCCCTTGCCAGGGAGTTCCTGTCATTTGAGGGTCATAGACGACTGAGAAGAACGGAAACATTGGATTTTGCCAGATAATCAAATTATCGAGAATTTTTGTTGAAATTGCAGCGGCAATAACAACGTTAGTTATAGTTTAGGTTAAGATTTTGATACTTATTGTAAATTTCTGTATAAGAAAGATTCAATAAAGAATAAATAAAATGACAAAAAATCTTTAAAAGCATGGACATTTTTTTTAAATTTTAGTATTAAATTTTGTATTTTTAGCTGATATTTAGGTAGTTGGTCAGATGAACTATTCGCCGTGCATATGTAAGTATCTCATGTGTTGAATGGCACCAACATAAAGTTGGAGGTCCACACTACGCGTTCTACGCTACTTCGCATTATACGCGGCTGTCAAAAAAATAGAATCAATGTTGTTGTGTGCTACAAGTTACAAACACAAACGCCTTGACGCGTAGAATGCTTAAAATAGATTCACTTTCTACTTTTGTAAGCATTAAAAGCGGCGCACGAATATGTCAGCTGATTTTGACAATTTATTTTTTATTTTTAATGTGTATTTATAAATTTTAATAAGCTAACTAGAACGAGTTAAGTTGTGAAAATATAAAAAAAATGAAGAAACGTTCTTCTTTAAATTAAGTAAAAAGTTACGCTTAGGAAGCGTATCATGTAACTTGATGCGTAGGATGCAAAGAAGATATGAAAAGCACGAAAAGTTTTGACATGAAGTAGTGTGGAAGAATTAATTAGATTCTCTAAATTTAAACACTATTTATTCAAAATATTCAAAATTTCATAAGGACACCCAATATTCATATGTTTTGTTTGAGACTAATATTTCTTAGTGTTATACACAGAATAACAAACCTGCTCCAGTGATGGTGGAGGTTATAATAAATCGGATTTTGAAATGATACAGAAGTTTTCCTTTCAGAAATCAATTTTTTTGAGGAGGTATTACAAAAGTACTTATAAATTTACGACAATTAATTTTATTTCTTAAAAAATAAAAATGTCTTGACCCAGATTTGAACCACTGATGTTCCACCTCTCATTTTTCTGTTCTACCCACAATACCACTGCCTTACTTCGTCCTTTAATAACTAATGACTTTCATATAAAAATACTATATTCCTTTCTGTGCGCATAAAAAAAACAGTTGCTAAATACCTTTTGTCAATTCTGATCTTGCTGAATTGCATAAAAAATTAAGCAGCTACGTTTTCTCAATGTGCGCATTTTTTTATCGCGCGTTAGTTCACAAAGAAAAGCAACAGTTATTAATGGTGCAGTGGTCAGGACATATAACCGGCAACTGTAAGGAACTAGGTTCAAAGCCAGTCTGCTGCTTGTAAAGTTTTTATTTTTTTTGTAATATAAAACAACTTTTTTATACCTATTTTATGGTTGGTATGTAAAATTATAGTCCGATTTTCCACATAGTTGATCCTTGTATATAAAGCTATATATCTTCCAAAATTCATTAGTTTATGTGCAGCAGTTTTTGTAAAAATTACAAAAACCAGTTGAAAAAGCTAGATTTTTTAGAGGTTG